TTTAAGTCCAAACACATACTTTTCATAAAGACAAGGACGACATCTCCGTTGCATTGAAAAGAACTTGAATTCATCCGTTGGGTTGATGTCCAAACACATACTTTTCATAAAGAGAAGGATCCTCACAAAGTTGCATGGAAAAGAACTTGAATTCATTCGTTGGATTTAAGTCCAAACACATACTTTTCATAAAGAGACGGAAAACTACTAGAAAAAAAACTGACTTCAAATGCTGACCTTGTTCAATTCCAAACAATGATCCTGTCCAAGCTGTCGGAAAAGCTCCAAAGTCATTGAAAAACAGCTAGGAGGGAAGACATCACCCGCAAGGTGTTGCCAAAAATGAATTCCCTAGGGAATGCGTGCGTGGAATATTTAGAATTCCTGGCAATTCAATCGCAGTACTATACTAAAGGCTCCGCCCCTGAGGCGTCGCCAAAAAATCATACTTGTTAACGTGAGAGCAATGCACAATATATTAAATAAAGAATCTTCTTATACACTTTTGAATGAATGCTATGATCACCCACAGTGTTGTAGAAGTAATCATTGGGGCTTCTTTAACTGACACCAACATTTCAACATCCTATACTCCACCTAGCCTTTGACAAGGAAGTGACGGCGATGCGCCTGTACCTTGAGGGTCCTCCTGTTAGCATTGACATCCTTGTAGACGGATCATCGCTGACGCTGGCATCTGGACACCCGAGCCTGGTGGAAAGTCTGCACGTACGATGATCGACGTTTTCAAGCCAATTTTAATCTTGCAATATGAACGTTTTTCAGTGTTTATACAAGCCTGATAGTTTTGAGTTTGGAATTTTAAGAACTGCCATAGCATAGGCTATAGGATTTTAAGGTTTGCAATTTTAAGAATATCGTATATGGCTTGCTATCAGCTTTCCATTACAAGCAGAATTACAGACGATCAAAAGGTCAGACTCAGGAAATGTGGTGAAATTGGAGATCTGATAATCTAGCCGGGAGCGCTAGCCAGAGGTCCACATCGGGGGGATTCAGGAAGCTGGGAAGTGCATAATAACATCCTCCATTTCTTGTCATCGATTGATTAAGCTGAAATTTGCAACTGCTTTTGGAAACAGACCGTTTCAGGTTCTGAGATGGTGACTAACCCTGGATTTGAGGGTGACCTGAGCGGCTGGTACTGCATGTCGTGTACAGGTGTGCATTATACACAAGACAAACATGGCGGAGGCGGAGCTATGCTGGCTCAGGACAGGTACACAAACAATCACTTGTTGACTGTTTATGTCCCGCCGGGAAACCATATTTCCTGACCGATACATCTTACACTAGTCGTGAATGATCAGAAGTACCATGTCTTTGTAAAAATACAAATTTACCAAATGTTTTGACTAACTCATGATCTTTTTTGTTTGTCTTATACAGAACTGCTGATTGGGCGGGTCCATCTCAAGACTTGGCCTGGGGATCCGCCATCAAGAGTGGATATACCTACATGTTCACCATGTGGGTCAAAATCCTGGATGGCGGAAGCACACCCTACAATATCAAGGCTAAGCTGAATGTTGTACTCAAAGGTATCACTGCAAACATGCGTGAAAATCATTTCTTTCTTTGTTTCTTTCTTTCTTGAAGTGTCTGTTTATTCGTTCCATCCTGACACATGATAGCATTGGCCATTAATGGCAGAATTTGCATATCATTGGGAAGCTGAAAGACATAAAAAAAAGATGGCCTTTATATTGAGACTGAGAAATTTAATGTTCCCAGATGGATCCCAGAGCTGGCTGAAGATAGTCTCCTCGACAGTGTCAGCCCAGGACGGCTGGACGAGGCTATCTGCTGGATATACTGTGGATGGTCTGTATAATTGTTCTACATTTTGTACGTTGTATACCGTGCAGTTGGTTGCTGCAAGGCAATCGGAGATGGCAAACTTTACCACATTCACATTAATAGTAGACCCCATAACGTTATTAGGCGTAATAGCCTTTCAGTCCCATTTTGTATCGGTTTTTTTTAACGATTTCATAGGCAGGCCATTACATAGGAATCTCATTGAGTATATGCTGACAACCTTACGTAAACGACTTGTTTCGGGTGGCGATCTCCTGGCAGAGCTTGATTTGGGAGATTGTGACTTTCTTCTATGTACCATTTTCTGACAGCCAGCCCAGTCAACTATGACACTGAAAGATCTGCTTGGAGATAGTTTACATCAGCCTTTGCCCTTATATTGACCACAGCTTACGGAGACACGGTGAGCAGTGTCCGGCTGTACGCCGAGGGTCCTCCGGCTAACGTCCGATTCCTCATCGATGACGTGTCGTTTCTTTCTTTTATGGACGTCTCGCAGAGTAACTGGAAGTCTGAGGCAAACACAAGGATCGACCAGCTACGCAAACGATACGTCAACTTCAGGTGAGTTGGGATGTGGTCACGACATTCGTTAGCCTGGGTGCCGTCCGTTTTGTTACAGGGCTCCTTTGCCCTCGCTACGATTTCTTCGGAGTAGCGAGTGCAAATGAGCCCCATTACAAGGCAGATGGCTAAATTCGTACGATATTATTGATATAGCAATAACATTCAAAATAGCATTTAATCTTAAATGGTAAAGTTCTTTATTCACAATCACTTGTTTAACAAGAGCCGACGTTTTGCTGACCATCTGTCATCTTCATCAGAGCAATTATGACTGGTTCACTGTGCACTGAAGATATTAGGTATTTGCTATGATGAAGATGACAAATGGTCATCGAAACGTCAGCTCTTATTAAACAAGTGGCTGTGAATAAAAAAACTTTGATTTGCAATCATTTACCAACCTGATGAAATCAATTATTCACAGAAGCGTTCAGTCTTGTTGTGTAATTTAGATGTCTAGATTTAATACGGCAATATTACTCTATTTTGTGTGAAATTGCAGGGTCAACACCCCTAACGCCCATGACATCAGTGTGGAGGTATGGAAATCATTTCCTGTTCAAAACGTCTAATGACATGATATCACGTTTAGTGTCTGTCTAACTCTAACAAGTACTTTCTGAGGGACACATTTTCTTTCTACCCAGTAATCTACTATTCAACGAATGGCTGTGAATACTCTTAACATATGTAACCATGTACTTTTTTTGTAGTTAAAGTCATATCATTTCAATCCATTATGATAAATAAAAGCAGATATATTTTGCCGCAGATAGCCCAAACTAAGTCTCACTTCGCGTTCGGGTCAGCGGTAAACGCCTGGAGAATGCCGTCCAACAGTCGGTACGCAGACTTCTTCTTCGACAACTTCGAGTGGGCCGTTCTGGAATCCAACCACAAATGGAAGCAGAATGAGCCTCAAGAGGTAGGATGATCCAAAATCTGATGAAACGGATTGGAAGGTAGTCCCATGGCCTGGCGGCAGGTTGTTGATCAACTGTATCAAGGACATGGTATGGTAATCGCCTTCTACCAGCTTTGACTACCTCAACCGAAGTTGGTTGAGACAAATCGAGTAAAGTACCTTTTCCCAAGGAAACAGCGTTTAGCCAGAAGTGCCGTGTCTACTAACCCAGCCATTCGACGCCACTGATGAAACAGTTTATTGAGACATGTGTTTGTGATTGTATTTTCAGGGTCAGCTTCAATGGGCGCGCGCTGACCGGACAATGGAGATGTTGGAGAGCCGTGGGCAAGTTTCCATTTTAAATAACATATCTTGACACGAGAGCTACTTCTACAGCTACAGGACAAATTTCCTCATCGAAAATATTGCTTGTTTTGTTGCCCTAAAATTGAATTGGATGTCTTTACGTGTTGTTTGCACTTACTGATTCTTAGGTCTAACAATTCTTTGGCGCATTTGCCTATTTTTACACAAAGAGGATTTTTCCCTCACATGTTTAAATCTGTTTGTTTGTCAAGAAAAGCAAAAGTGTGTGAACTATTTTCTACACATATATCTCTGTTGAAATCATTTCAGAGTTACCATACGTGGCCACTGCGTCTTCTGGTCGGTACCGGATAATGTGCCGGACTGGCTGAAAGGCTACTCTGCCGCTGAGGTAGAGCAGAAGTGCTGGAAGCGGGTTGACGACGTTGTGGGGCGATACAGCGGAAGGTACACCTTGGCGATTCTACTAATCTATAGCGGCGCAACAAACTTGGAGCATTGGATTCTAAAACTTATGGTAGTTCTGCCAAACTTCACCTTGTTGGTTAACGTTGATGATGCGTCGGTCTAACTAATAACTAGCAATGACTAGATTGACTGCAATGGTAATAGATAGTCAGCATAAGATCACGTTTGCCAGCGAAATATGTTCTTTACTTTACAGGATACCGTGTTGCCGTAAAATGTTGCTTTGTTTTCCGTGCCAGGTTGGCGCACTGGGACGTCAATAACGAGATGCTGCACGGAAGCTTCTTCAGGGACAAGACGGGCAGCTCCCAGATCCGGTACGAGATGTTCCGGAAGGTGAAGGAAAGAGACCCGAGCGCCAAACTCTTCCTGAACGACTACAACGTCGTTACTGGTTATTGGTCAACTCGGGTGAGTTTTAATTTAATTAAGAGACGATGACTTTATTTCAATGCTCTCTGATGAGTCTGCTGATATCTTTTGCGACACTCTGAAGTTTTATAAGTAATTTCGACACATTTCATTTCTTGTTGATTTTCGGACAGGACTATGCCAACCAGATTACTGAGTTCCTGAAGAACGGCGCGCCGGTGGAGGGCGTCGGAGCTCAGGGACACTTTGGCAGCCGTCCTGACCCTCTAAACGTTCAGGTAGGTCAGATTCTAGTCACGACAAGCTTACAACATCAGGTGTATGCTTCTCCATTCTCTCACTTATCGGGGATTGAAAAATATCAAAGTCGTATTGATTCCTATTTTGCTTCCCGTTGAAACGCAAATTAGTTACAAATTGATTATGAACTGAATATATGGATGACATGTTCTGATGGGCACTCCAAAACTGATGCACACATTAAAAAAGTACAAAAAAAGAAACATGCGTTAGTATTTCCACCTTATTACGAAACATCTGCTTTCCAATTCATCTTAATTTCAGACTCTCTGGAACAGGAATCTGAAATGCTTTCTCCTTCTTTTCCTGCATTAATAATTATCAGACATAGCCTACATAAAAAGGTAGAGAAAGTAAAGAAACGTTGTAACGTAGGAAACGATATTGTTTGTTAGTACTGCCTGAACACTTTAGCCTCTCGTGGGCTCCCCGTTTGGATAACCGAGCTGGATATTGACGAGGCCGATGAGTATGTGAAGGCAGACGGCTATGAGGACGGTCTGAGGGCCTTTTTCAGCCACCCTGCCGTGGAAGGAGTTCTTCTCTGGGGTTTCTGGGACCAGTCGCACTGGAAACCAGACGCTGCCATTGTGAACGGAGACAATTTCCAGGTAAGCCTCTAAATTCGCAATATACGTTGCCAAATGTGTTCTTTGGACATCTTTAACAATGATTAGAAAGGGTATCGTATTTTACCACAATGTACACTCGCCTTTCGTAATTGTGAAACAAAACTTCTCTGACTTGATGTGTGTTACTTATGACTTCATCACTGGCAATGACTCTGTCATCTATTAGGACAAACACTATCTAAATTCAACATAAATCCACATCTTCTCCCTCCTAGATTAACGAAGCAGGTCGCCGTTGGCAGCGGCTTGTCTTTAACGACTGGCGGACCAACCTGTCTCTCACGGACGGCATCGTGACGTCACACGGCAAGGAGTTCATCTTCCGTGGTTTCCATGGAAACTACGAGGTCAAGGTCAAGACCCATGGTCAGGTCGTGGCCACGAAGACGTTCTACTTGTCTCCTGGAGCCGGCGCCCTTACTGTGGAGGTGGACATGCCTAACGACATCATTGTGGGCTAATAAAATATGGCTAACATACCCGTAGAAAACAACAAAAATTTGTGTTTGAAAAAGGCAACACAGAAAGGATCTACGGTCATTTTTAAAGATACTTTACTATCAATAAATAGCATAATTAATGGCCATGTCGCAAAAGTATATGTTTGGTCACCTTGAAGCTTTGCAAGCCTGTGTTCCTAATTTCTTCGGTAATCACCAAATCCCTTTGTGCACTTTTCATTTTGACCTGTTTCTACTCTGCTGAAAGTGAACCCCAAAGGTTTTGATAATTCCAATATGCTACATATGGTAAATACCGTTAGTACTGACTATCATATGTAATGCATGAAAAATTCTAATTTTTCTAATTTCTTTGTTTTGACCATATACCAGTAGACTGTTATCTGCCAGCAAACTGGCTTGAAATCTGGAAAGCATTCCACGAGTGAAGCATAGATATCAGATCCCTCTGGCGGACAGCAGAGAAACTGCACAGGTATATGGCATCGTCCTTTAGATTTTTCGGCTAATTAGCAGACGGCATATGTGTGTGTGTCATCGTCCTCAAGACTCTTCAACTAAGCAAACACCAAAGTCATTCCGGAGACGCTTGTTTGCCAACTCCGGTCCTTTATCGGTACAATAGGAAGCGTCTGTTTTCAAACAAACGGATCAATATTCTCTTTAGCTCCACCTCTAACAAATTTACATTCATAGTACATGTACGTGGGTTTGGTGTAGATATTATAACGGTGTAGTTAGTTGCCGTAAGCCACGGCCCTAACCATGACGTTCCGCGCCATCGTTTGGGGAGTTTTGCTTCTTTGCTGCACATTGCACGTCGTGAGAGCAGGGACAGAAATATTCCGTAATGCCGGTTTTGAGGCCCCGCTTGGTCCGGACAACTGGTACTGCGCGGGCTGTACGGGGGAACAGTACGGGCACGACAAGGTGGAGGGGACTGTGAGTATGCGGGCAAGTCAGAGGTGGGTGAAGGCTACGGTATAGTAGGCAAACCAGGCTACAGGGCACAATTTTGCAACACTACGACATCAGTCCATCTTACATGTGAAGGTCTTATAATTTATACGATATAAGATACAGAAGAACTTTATTGCACGACAAATGCACATGGTACATTGTATGGCAAACTACATAAAGAGAGTAACAACAATAAAATAAGTGTGTTGAATAAGACCTAATGTCGAATAAAACCTAACATATCTATATCATAATCATTCAAACAATAAGGGATATCACAAGTCTTTGATATAGTGTTACAATCGAGTGGGCTAATCACAAGTTACGGTATTTTTTCTAATAGTAAAGCATTCCTTTATATATCTACCTATTTTTGCGTTGTGGGGACCGTTACATGTTACATGTTATATATTCAAATCTGTCTCCAACATCGAGACTCTTAAGTCCTAAATGTACCATGTTTCATTCGTGTTGAAGCATTGTTGATTGTGCAGCTCGCTGAAGGCAGAAATTGAACGATATTTATTTAGTGAAAGATTGAACATATGGCTACTTCACAGCATACCTGTCTGTGACACTGTTTCGCGGACTGTGAGTATGCTGGCAAGTCAGAGGTGGGTATAGACCCAGATATAGCAGGCAAACTTTAAAGACACCCAAAGCGACTTCGGGCTGTAAAGCTGGAGTCACATTGAAACCGGACCTGCTCGGTGTAGACGCCGGCCGGCGTCATGAAGTCGAGCGTGCGCCGGCTGTCAGGGTCACAATTAAATGTTCCTTTGAAGCTCCCTGTCGGGGCGCTGAGGTGGCTTCTATTTAAAATTCCCAAATGTTTGATCCCTTTGACCGCCGGTTTCTGTTAGGGACCCGCCCGGTGCCCGGTCAGCCTCCCGTCTTGTCCCGTGCGGGATGCGGTAGGGTGCCGACCGGCTCTTGTATTCCGACCGGGCAGCTACAGGGTCCCTGGCGGGGTCCAGGGGCGATCCTGGCGGGTCCCAGGCTGGTACGCCCCTGGCTGGTATGATGGGTTCACCCCTGGTTGATGCGCAGACCCGTGTATGGTCACTAGGACTCACTAATGATGGAGCTAGGTCGAGAACATCACAATACCCTCTTACCACCTTCTTCTGAACAATTAATCGGCGTACCTTGCCCGACGGGGCCCGAAGTGATTTTAAGTTTGATTTAAAATCAATCCGGCGACCGCGCGGGGCCCAAAATAGGCCGGCAGCCCTCGGGAACCCCGCCGGTCTCGGTCCAGGTCCCGTTCGGTAGTGCAAAAAAACAGGCCGAAAACGCACCGAGCGGGCCCCTTTCTTGAATTGTGACCTAGGCTGGATTATCAAAGTCAATTTTGTAGCTGGTTGATCAAGCCCATACCATAGCATAGCTAGTCAGACAGTCACAGAAAATATTTCTTCTTGACCAATGAGCTTGGGAGCTTGAGGTGGTTTTACAGTTGATAATTGATCATTGTTGAGGGTGACTCAGCACGCGCCGGGTAGGAGAGTGTCAGTGGGTTTATCAAAGAATTTAGGATTTTTTGCAATGTCCGATTAGATTGAATTACATCATAGGAACCCTCCCAAAAATTCCAATGCACGTGTATTCACGAAGACCCAAAAGACCTCTCGAAGGTCTGAAATAAAAAAAATCCGATTTCTTGTATTACTGTTATCATTATCTTTCTTATTTCTATCGTTGCCGTTGTTATTTTTGTTTTTGTTTGATGTTCTCATTGAACCAGACGGGGTGCCTGGTCTGGCCCTGCCTACGACCTTGCGTACGGAAGTGACGTCATCTCTGACCGGATGTACGATTTCCAGATCAACGTCCAGCTGATGTCGGGTGGTGACGTCAAACATCGGGTAATTGTGACCATTAGGACAGAGTTTTCCGGTCAGTAGTCTTCTCAAAATCTCAATAATTAAAGAAGACTGAAAACTTTGTGTTGTTTATCGTACATGTACATGTATGTTTACTACTGTTTAGTCTATAGGTATGACCGAACATATTTAAGACATATTTTGTCATGTTTTAAAAAATGTACAAAGCAAAAGCTTGATGAACATTAGAATATTTAATGATTGCTGTATTTTTTGCAGACGGAGAGACCCTCCACCGGCAGATCGCGACGCTGAGTGCCGTGAGTCAGACGGACGGCTGGCAGCGGATAGCCGATACTTGGACCGTACCCGGTATTGTCTTTGAATAACCGCCAATTAGCGATGTATACATATCTTTTAGATTTTATCAATGCGCTGCCTTGATATATAATAAAAATTATGCTTTGCTGCTTTTACTTGGATGAGTTTTAAATTTCTAAAACATGACTCACGAATCCGCAATTCAGCCACTTCGGCCGTGTTTATGTGAAGTCACCCAAACCGCGATTCGGGTAAGTCACATTCCTCACATCTGGTCCACGTGCCATACATTCCTTTTAAAACGTGCCCGATCACGATTCTCCGAAACTACATTCATTGTTATTTCATGAAAACTCGCTAGGTAGCGTGTCATCATTGTCAGAGGTCAACGATCTGGTTGCTGGTGCCCCCCTCCCAGCGTATCTCGGCCGAATGCCGACGTAGTCCCACCAGAGGTGGTGAAGCTCGTCCTAGAACGGACACATTATTTGACCATTACTACTCTTTAAGTTGCTGACACGTAAAATTTGGTATTGCATATAAAGAAAGAAATATCACCCAGTAATCCATGACCAAGAGAAGTCACATTGAAATCACATTGAGTTCAGACGCAAATCGCGGTGAGGAAAAACCGATTCGAAACCACCTCTAGAAGTGGCTTTGGAGCGTTCAGATGGAGCCACTTGAAACCGGCTTCGGGGTAAACCACGTGTAAAGCGCCTTGGGTGACTTCACATAAACACGGCCTTGGTCGCACTGTTATGTCAACTTTGTGTATTTATATGTTAATTGTATTTTGTTGTGTGGCGCTTTAATATAAATTATAAACTTGAGTGCAGCGCCACCCCGCGAATAAAAAAAATCAGGCAATATGCCTCGACTGATTCTATCCCAAACAAACCATTCATCATCAACATCAGTAAGGAGTCACTTATAACATAGCGCTACTCGGTTTACGTCAGAAAAAAGGGGGACATTGAAGAGCCAAAGAAATTGTTTCAGTCAATAATGAATTACATTGATGACTTTGTGTCTGTATGTTGTTGTTGTATCCCTTAGTTTACGACAAACCAGTGACGTCCATGCGGCTGTATGTGGAGGGACCTCCGCATGAGATCGACCTACTCGTGGACAGGTCTTCTCTGACTGAGGCCGGCGTGGCCATTGTCGATACTTTAGCGGTATGTTCATTTTGTACAGGAGTCAACAAGATCTAGCCAAACATTCTGTATACCATATTCTTTCATTTTGGAAGTGACGTCCTCAAATGATGAGGTAAGAAATTTCTAGAGTGAAGGAAAGACCCATAGCCAGGAATGTGGCTATAACTCACTGCCTGCAGTCAGTGATTTATATCCACATTCCTGTTTTTTCTTTCCTTTGAACTTTTCAATGTGTCCATATACACAATATTGTGGATATCATAAATCAAACAGATCTTTAATATTTACAACATATTTATCTATCTCTCCAAATACAAATTTATCTTAAGTTTATTCTATTTTATTCACATTTATTTTTCGAGTATTGGGCAAAAAGTTATGAAACTTATGTCAGCCCGCTCCTCACACATAAAAGGAAACAATAAAACAAAGTAATAATAATAAGAAGAAGTAGAAAGGACAAAGGTACATAATGAGCTGTACATAATTTATCTATATTAACTTTTATGTATATGGATAGGATACTCTGTAATGCTGATAACGGTATCCCATTCCATAAATTGTCAGGGTGGCGCAGAACTTTTGTCTAACCCAGGATTCGAGTCCTCACTGGATTCCTGGCTATGCCGTAGTTGTTCCGGGGTGCAGTACACCACGGACTGCCACGGTGGCGCTTCATGCATGATGGTTCAGGAAAGGTACTGTGTCTAGTTATGTTTACCCAAGGAAAACATTGTTTTTTCCCAGTTTCTTTTTTTCTTCTTCTTCCGTTCCAAGCAAATATGGTCAATTACCAGGACCAGACATCTGTCACCATGGTAACTAACTGGTGTTGGATTACATCATGTTTCAAGTGCCATTCAAGTGCCTGCATGGTTATTATATATGTATGCAGGTTTTTGAGTGAGAATAAAGAACAAACAAAGCAGTAGTTTGTTGAGCTGGGCCATGTGAAGGTGAACATAGTGCATTTGCTTTGCAAATGTTAAGTTTCTAGTTTCAAATAATTTCATTTAGTGGTGAATTGATTAAATCGGAGACTTTAGTAACCCACAAGAAAGAAAGAGACCTGCATGTATTTGGTATGTGGGGCCGTGCGCTGCCGACCCCGGAGACAGAATAGTAACAAGGACTGATAGTATTTAGCTTTCTTCAATAACATATTTACACAGTAATCCAGGCAACCGTTTATATACCAGTTACATTCTTAGAATTGTCTTCAGACTCATACTCAGTCACTTATAAGAGATCGTGGATATCATCTGAAATTTCTAACTCTTCAATAAGAGACTCGATCTGGTTGACTTCTTCTACCTTGATGTGTAATACCAAGGTCACACAAAGTCCAAACCGGGAGAATGTTTAGACCTTAGAACAAGTAGTATATAAGTTACATGCCAAATTCAGCATGTTGGGTCTTTCATAGTCTTGTATGTAGGTCGATTCTTTTGTACCCACGTACATCACTGTACGAGTAGACCTTACGAAAGTCGCTGAACTTTTGTTGTGTCGATAAAGTTCTTCCATGAAAGACAACAAAAAACACATAATGTTGAACAATTTTGCACGAATGTGTATAGCGTTGATATCAATTGTTTATTTTTCGATTATGCAAACAGCCCGGACGGGGTCCGGACAGGAAACGTGTCCTTTGTATAACCTTCATAAATGTCCTCGCACGTAGTACTACAAACCGTATTTGCTTCGTAAGACATTAGGGAAAATGTGCTGCATTCTTTTTACCTCTAAGTGGACCATCCCACACGATTGGTTCACAGAACTCATAGTTGCCCCCCTTCCACCACCTCTCTACATCCGTGTATACTTTTCGTTCTGTCGGGGAAGCCTGGAGAAGTTTCTTGCATACTTCACAAAATCTGGATTCAAAGTCGGGGAGGTTTTTTGGTGGGTTGGTTTTCCAAGCAAAGTATCGGTTATACTCCTCATCGTTGTGGTCAAGATACGTTAGGTAGTTTGCCATTGCCTCAGGGGATTCGAAGTCATCGACATGAACGAAGGAGTTTGGTGGAGCAACTCTCTCATAGTCTCCCTTTGAAGGCCCGAGTACGATCGGAACGATATCGTAATCAACGGAATTATGCCAGAATTTTTCCGTTATGTACTCAACGCATTTAAAGTTTTCAAATGCCAAGTAGAATTTGTACGGACGCACATGCTCCTTTATGCATGACCTATCTGTTCTATTCTTCGGACATGAGCCGCTAACGTTTCCACAGACTCCAAAAACGTCTACTTGGATGTGCTTACTGAGTTCAGCAGCATAGACAAACCGAGTCATGTATTTGTAGCAATCACTCACGTACCATATGACGAGTTTGTTTTTCTGTTTTGCGTAATCTTTGTTTGGAGCAGGTGGGTTTTCAGCTAGTGCTTTGTAAACCGGAGTGATATGGCCCCATGGCGCGAGGATGTCGGAATCGTTTCTGTACGACATGGTCCAGTTAAAGACGCCTCCGTAAGAAATCAAGTCGATGCCTCTTGTAATAGGCGGGCAGTCAAACGGAAAGTATATCCAGATCTGATGCTCAGGCCGTGTCTTTGGAAACCAGTTCCTGCTGTAGACTTTAGGTATTCCGAAGATTCCTCTGAAGATGATGGCATCAGCATCTTCAGTCTGAAATTTTCCTCTTCTTCTTCGTTTGGTCTTTTTAATGAATTCACACTGAGGCATAGAGAGACACGGTATCGCCTTTGGAGTCGGCCATATGGAAGTCGGATTCCAAATGATGATTTTTTTGCGGTCCGGTGACTTCTTCACTGGCAGGGTCGAGGGCTCTACCTTCCAGGTTGAATAGAACATTGCCAGCTGGTCCACAGAGCCAGAAGAAACGAAGTGATCGTATCTTGGGAGTGCTGAACGCTGGATACGAGTAAAAGACACGTTTTCAACTCCATAGTAGAAAGCACCATTCCTTTTGTAACCAACATTTAGGCTTCCCGGTATTTGTATATAGCTGCCCGCGACGATCACGATATACACGAAGAAGGATAACATAAAAAACCGTTGGGTTTTCTCCAAGAGGGCATACTCTTTCTGAAACTTCGTGGTGATCATTTTTGAAGTTGACGTGAAGGTAATTAATCGCGTAGAAGGAAATGTTTAGCATTCGCTGATACGGTAGGATGTTTTAAGACAACATAATACAACAACGTTTCAACGATTCAAACTACTCCTTCTGGCTGCTGTTCCTGGGTGTTGTTTCTGAGGTCGAGTGCTGTTCCTGATTGCTGTTCCTGAGTGCTGCTCCGAGTGGATGCTGTTTTGAGAAAGTGATATTAAAACAGTTTAACATACTAACAGGAAAGACAGACTATTACTATGGTGTGTAATGTGGGATCAATTACGTGAAGCCCTTGTAACACATAGCCTAGTATGGCCTCCTGAACACTGCCGAATTACGCCCGACCCCTCCCCACAAAGAAAACATGCTTAGGAGTAAGTCAGGAGCATGGTCAAATTTGATTGGATTGGATTCAAAAGGTATATACAATAATTATTATTAGGTGTGAGCTAATTCCGGTCAGACTACTCCCAACTTACCGCCAACCTTGTGATCTGAATGTCTGACAGGGGCTTGAAAGAATAGCAAGGGATAAGGGAATGCCCTGTACTTCCGGACCCCCCTCTCAAATTCTCGCTTTCATATGTTCTGTGTGTAGTCATATCATTTCACATTTCTTGAAGTTACTCCCCATAAGAGTCCCATCTGTAACCCCGGCAGAGTATGCGATCAAATGGCGGTCAAGCGATTTCCTTCATATGATGATGCCCTTCATAACAATGTTTTTAGAGTACATGGAACATTGTTCATATTCTATAACTACTGGAGTAGAAAGAAATATTCTCAACGAAAACAACTCACCAGGGATAGGCTGAAAGACAGCGCAGCTAAGTAGTGAAAACCATCCGGGCGACGGTTGGCGTGGAGCAGACGTGGAACAGGAGAAGCGCTGGAGTTGTCAATCCGGATAGACGGGTTCGGTTCATCACCTGATTAGAGCGCAGGCGCGAATTAGACAGATACATCTACATCTAAACAATACTGGGCAAACTCTCCGATGGGGCATGGCGCCCAGGTTTGGTTTGTTTTGGTTTACGGATGCACGGCTAGTGCGGCCGGTGGACGGTGCTGTGTTGAGTATGTTAACTAGTAATAACAAAAGTTCACCTTTTAACTAAATTACACATGGCATCAAGTATGGATTTCCATCATTTTGATAACACGAAGGAATCATTGCATTTTTGTCATTTATAGATTACATACAGTACGTTATGAGTCCTACAATGCATATGTAAAGCACTTATAGTACAGACTGTTTATTAATGACGCAGATTGACTCATCATTTGCATATTTTGCATCTAGATGATGCATCTCTAAGGTACATGTACCCGCATGTCCCAAATAATTCAAATCCTTCTTTTTTTCTGTCATCATCTTTGGAAATTTGTAACAAATTTGTAGCTACATGTAAAGCTCCTGTCACACAGAACCTTCGAATAGGAAAGATATGCGTGGCCTAAATCTGGTTGGACTGCTCCCGAACTTCAGCCAACCTTGTTCGGCTGGCACTCGGGGGAAGGTTTTGAATGTGTGGCTTAAGGCATTGTCTTTGTTCTCCTGCAGGGGTGCATCATGGGCCGGTCCCTCCCAGAACCTGGCCTGGGGGTCAACGGTCAAGGGCGGACATAACTACCGGTTCAGCATATGGGTCAAGTTCATGGACGGCGGGGACACGTCGTACCAGATCAGCGCCAAACTGCATCTGACGTTCTCTGGTAAGGACGACGGGGCCTTGTACATGGTCTTGCCATATCAAGAACCGTGCCTATGTAGTTCTATATTGGGTTAACGTTACATGTAGGATGAGGCACGGTTCTGGATGGTATCCGCGCATCTAAGAACGTAGATTTAACAAAGTCACGGTTCTGGATGCGCGTGGATTATCATGATATGTGACTGAGCACGGTTCTGAATAAAAGCACCGTTCTGGATACAACACACTACTTTTTCGACCGTTATTGGATACCTTGGTTTAAATTTCAGAACAAATATCACAATCATCAGATCCAAACATAGACACGTGTGACAGGTCATGCTCCTGTTGGTAATGTGTTGTTATTTCTTTTCAGTTATGATGACTAGTTCAAAAATTTAAAGATGTATTTTTCTCAGGCTGGACGTCTGACGTTTACTCCATGGTAGCTAAAAACTGGATCTCTGCTGGAGACGGCTGGAAACTGCTGGCTGGAGACTACACAATACCGGGTTTGTAGTCAATCAATCAATCAATTAATTAATAACTAATTAATTAGTCATCCATGGGCATCAATGCTAATGAATTCGGGTTGTAAACATCTCATTGGTTAAAGGTTGAACTTTATTCCAACACACAATTGTGCAGGGATCAAATTTTCAGCGATCGCGACCACTGTCGCCTTCATCAGGATAATTAATGACCAATCACTTGTTTGACCTTTTACTATGATTACTACCAACACAGATGAACTTTCATGATAATCTCATTGGTTATTTTATTTTATTCGATTAACCACACCCATATGCAAAACCAGTGCCAATGGAGTAGACGACAATGTTTGAAAGATCTTGACATAAAACAGATCACGCCTTATACGTTGCATCAATAATACAGTAAGGGAAGGAAGAATTTCTGTAATAGCTTACGATCCAACTTCTATCACTTTGCTCCAGGACTGAGCGTCGGTCACCGCCATGTCAAGATCCTATTGTAGATTAAACTAGAGTAAACCATACTCCTGCCTCAGTCTAAATCTCTATAAGCGGGCCACGAAACATTCCATTGTGTACTGTATTAACAGTCCCTCCAGACTGAGAGAGTACCATACCACCAACATTGAGCTGTAACGATATCCTCATCGTCATTTTTTCACAGACTACGGCGACACTGTGAGCAGCATTCGGGTTTACTTAACTGATCTTCCTGCTGAGATCCGCTTCCTTGTGGACGACGCTTCCTTGAAGGAGTTCGTGTCTCCCACCACCGACTGGAAGTCTGAGGCAGACGCGCGGATAGAACAGATCCGCAAGAGAGACGTCAAGCTCAGGTGGGAAGAAATTCACTAGCTTGAATCAAAGGTAGTATTAATTTTATTCTGTTACCATGACTCTACATGTTTAATCTAGCAACTGAGTCAATAATATGACAATTGTACATCTGCAGAAGCCCATAAATTGAATCAATGTTTAATTCCATTTGTTTCATTACTGATAATTTGTTTGATTATTTGATAACGTCAATTTCAATGACGAGATGACGGCATAACAAACAGTATAATGCATGGTGAATAAAATCTGGTTGACTTGGTAGCCCCTTGGCGCACATTGATACAGTTTGTCGTCTATCCTAGGATCAACACGCCGAACGCACAAGGCATTTCAGTAGAGGTAAGTTACGCTGGGTACGCACAGTCACCGTTACAGACCATGAACTCCGCAGTTCACACCTAAAATAGTCAAAGGGATATCGTTAAACGTGTCCACTTTCCAATTCAGTACAAAACATCCCTCTTTAAATTTTGATCGTGAACCATGTCTGTGGTTTCCGAGTTTGGCATATGACATACTTGTTATTTCCGGAAAGTATTGTTTTTTTTTGCGTTTGAGTGGATGGAGAAGGGTTTTACATGATTCACAGGGACCCAGTATGCCCTGAATTCATGGACGTAGTCCCAAGGAACATGGCTGTGAAACGTAAGATATGGTGTAATAGCAGGGTATTACTAAGTTTCATGTAATGCATACTATTATGCTCATTAACGAAAAAATACATTTACGTCTTGAAACTTTGACATCTGCGATTCCTTGTTGTTTTTGTTTTGCTCTGTTTGTTTCCTCTGTATGTTAACAGGTAGCTCAGACCAGGTCCCACTTTGCCTTCGGGTCCGTAGTCAGCGCCCTGTCGATGCCCTCCAACAGTCTCTATAATGATTTATTCTTCGACAACTTCGAGTGGGCCGTTTTGGCGAACCACCTCAAGTGGAGGCAGAACGAACGGAATGAGGTATGCCATTGGATCGCCTTTTACTATCACCTGCTTGAAAGTATTTATTCATTCTAAATTCATTCGAAGAACCTACAAACACTTGCCTGGAGAATACCTCTAAAATTGTGATGACCCGATAGATAATGATTTCCAGTTGTAAGGCTGCAAATAGCACCACATGGCCGAATTTTCTACTGAAGCCATTATGTCTACAATAAACTTATATGAACTCTGCTGTCATGCAATCTTTCCAATATTTTATCGTTGTGAAATTAGGGAGTGTTGACGTTTGACCGGGCAGACGCAGCGATCGCACTGCTCGAAAGTCGAGGGTAAGCCTGCCTTACGTTTGCATTAACATGCACTTTGTATCTGTGAGTAACATCACGACGATTAGTTCTTGGAACCTGAAATCTGCAATGAATCGCCACAATTACATAATAATTTTTGACTTGGTTTGGAAATGTGAAGTTAATATAAACAGGGCTGGAAGAGAACAACAATAGTGTGCAAATGTATGACACACTTTTTAAAAAATGCCATGACCACTGACCAGGATCCCGATACGTGGGCACAATGTTTTCTGGGGAGCCGGATTCCATGTTCCCGCCTGGCTGCCGGCGTACTCCGGGTTGGAGCTGGAGCAGAAGTGCTGGAAAAGGGTTGATGATGTGGTGGGCCGATATGCTGGGAGGTAAACCGTGTTGTTTCAATAATTTATCCAAAGTCGTGTTAGCTACAGACGTCAGGCCATCTTCCATTAATCATCGTCACACTTGAGCTTTTGCTACAAAATATGTGATGCAGGACTACACTAACCGATAGGTGATAAATCATTTCTGTCCTCTCGTTTTGCCAGGTTGCAGCATTGGGACGTGAATAACGAGATGCTGCACGGAAACTTCTTCGTGGAGAAAACGGGAAACCCTCAGATCCGGTACGAGATGTTCCAGAAGGTGAAGGAGAAGGATCCTGGCGCCAAACTCTTCCTGAACGACTACGGAGTCATCAACAGCGGGGCGATGACACAGGTCAGGGCAGCTAGTCTGCAACATTGTCTCATTATCCCAAACTCTGTGACAATTCTGGTCACGTAGCAATGGCACCGCGAGTAAACATGGTTTGTTTTGTACATTTGCCTTTCTTGTTCATTCCTAAATGTCTCTTTAAACTGTTACAGGAGTGTGTGATAACAAGGAGTCTGAAAGAACATATCAAAAAGTACCTCTACAGCTCGATGCTACATCCAACTGATGATCCTCCATGTCTTCCCCACAGGCGTACGTGCAACAGGTGCAGGAGTTTCTCGCTAACGGAGCTCCAGTCGACGCCCTTGGAGCTCAGGGTCACCTCAAGAGTCGGCCGGATCCCGTCGTACTTAAGGTGTTTTTTCAAGACATTTAATGACTTCATGATGCGAGAAAGAGGCACCGACTGCTTACGCCAAAGTTTTACTATTACAATTCTTTTTTTGTATTTTCATATTGACTTCTCATAAGATAATTCAAAATTGCAATTTAATGTTTCATCTAACGTGGAAATCAGATGATCAATCGTTACCATTGAAATACCATGCTTTCTTCCTGCAGAGCCGCTTGGACCTTCTGGCCACCGCCGGTCTGCCCATCTGGGTGACGGAGCTGACCGTAGCCGAACCAGACGAGATGGAGAGAGCGGCAGGTTACGAGGACGCCTTGCGGGTCGCCTTCAGCCACCCGGCCGTGGAGGGGATCATGCTGTGGGCCTACTGGGGAGGAGGACAGAAAGGCGACCCTCAGACTGCTATTTTCAACATAGGAACCTATGAGGTTCAGTTCAACATAAAACGACACTAACGTTTCTTTTTAAAATGATACTAGAGTATAGTGAAAAATTGCACATCTGATCTTGGCTGTCACACGCATATCAAATTATCCTTATTGCTTTTAGGTCTAAATGATTAATTCTCATCTTTGTTAAGATACATGCGGCAGATATCAATGTGTCCCGAGAGTCTACAGTATTTAGCCCAAGTGCAGCCTTCCTTAATCGTAAGGTTTCACCAGTCTTTCCCCATGTCTTTTTCGGTACAGATGAACGAGGCGGGCCGCCGCTGGCAGCAGCTGGTTCTCGCCGACTGGCGGACCAACCTGTCCCTACATCACGGCACCACCACCTCAGCTGGGCAGGAGTTCGACTTCCGCGGTTTCCATGGCAACTACGAGGTGACAGTGAAGTTCCATGGCCAGGTGGCGACCACCAAGACCTTCTACCTGTCACCTGGAGACGGGCCGAGGACCGTGGATATAGACATGCCTAATGACGTCATAGTCGGCTGAGAGGCTACAGATTACAGATGTCTGTGGTTATAATTACCACATTCTGATAATGAAATACAGAATAAAGGAAAAAGAAACGTGTCAAGTCTCGGGCATGAAGTTTATCTTTTCTATTACTCAGTACTAAAGAGACAGTACATGTCAACCAGTCCCTAAACTTGATCTACCGGTTCCAAAATTCACATGGAACTGTATATTTGTCGGTGTCTCCCTGTCAGGGACATGATGGTGACCTTTCAAAACACGGGTTTGTTTAAGTCAGTGTAGACATTAACATACGCAAAGAAACACTCACAAAAAAACACAAACTTATTTTCTTTTTTGCACGGGACGATGAGAGTGGATATAGACATGCCTAATGACGTCATTGTTGGCTGAGAGGCTACAGATTACAGATGTCTGTAGCTATAATTACCACATTCTGATAATGAAATACAGAATAAATGGGGACATCCCTCAAGTCCCGGGCATTAAAGTAATTTTCTTAGTAATTTTAGCAACTAGAGAGCACAATTTAATTCCAACCAACCAATTAAACCAATTCTATCATCATTAGTTGCTGAAGATATTGAGAACAGTCAATACCAGATGCACACTTGGAGAACAGTCTTTCACACATCAAGCCTCCCATAATGTCCGTATGACAAATATCCCTAAATCCTTAGTGCCGAAAACGTGATTCTTCAAAGTTTATCCAATAGGACAGATCTGTGAACCAAAAGCTGATTATAACCATAAGGGCACTCTTCTAGGATATCGTCCTTTAGGGCGTCTCGACTAGCGTTAACTTAACATCTGATAAGAGCGGAGACGATTGTTTGTCCCCACGTTGCCTTTATCCATATTTGCTCATTCGATCAATAATTCAGAATATAAATATATGCATAAGTGCGTTGCTTCGATTATCTGAATACGCGTGGTTACCTGCTGCCAGCGGTTTTAACCATGATGTTCAATGTGATCTTTTTGGGAGGTTTGCTTCTTTGCTGTGAGTTGCAGTACGCTAGAGCAGCACAAGAAATATTCCGCAATGCTGGCTTTGAGGGATCTTTTGGTTCCGATAACTGGTACTGTGTAGGATGTACCGGTGAGCAACACTTGGGCGACAAGGTGGAGGGGACAGCCAGCATGTTGGCGCGGGGGAGGTGGGTGGACCTCTTACTGGTAGCTGACATACAGTTTATACTTTAGTACTGTACTTGCTGAAGATAAATGATCTGTATTGAATCATCATCATGTGTCGTAACGATATATCTCGATAATTGGTTTGCCAATTAATAACTCCAAAACGGTGGAGGCAATTTAAAAAAAAATGTTGGACTCAATATTGAACATAATATTCCATGAACGGGAAAAGATTATGTCTATATATTGCCAGAAAAGGTTTAAGTACATTTTATGGTCTGCGTTCGCCAGTACTACGTTTGTCTGTGATGTAGAGGTCAGATCAATTTTGTGTGTGCAGCTGGTGAGATTTCCACGGGTATGCAATTATTATTCAAACCCCAACAAAATAGCAACATGGATCGGACTGAAAAATATATCTAGAAACTTTAAGGTACATGGCCATGATGATTTTGAAATGGAGGGTCAAGTCATCATATATCTACACTCACTCACTCACTCACTCACTCTCTCCCATAGCTTAGTCTACACTAGTCTTGTTTAATTAGGAGCAATGAAACTGAAGTATTTTAAGTTGATACACTTTTGAGCAGAGAAACCGGGGCCCGGCCGGGCAGTCTAATGGAACGAAAAGTATGATTAAAAAAAACAACAAAGCACAAAGAAGTTGAAAAATAATAATTATGGGAACTAGTTGCGTAAATCATTAAATTAAATACAGATTATTGATTTTTTGTTAATAGAAACAGGTCGGTCGGGCCCCGAAATGTGACCCCAGCATTAGATAATATTTATTGATATAACATTATCGATCAGTCCATTGATTGATTGAATGATCGATTGATTTATTGAATGGATGATTAGGACAGCTGAGTGGGCCGGCCCTTCGTACAATCTACCTTACGGTCGTGGCGTCCTCTCCGGTCAGACGTACGAGTTCCAAATCTTCGTCAAACTGTTGTCAGGAGGAGCGGCCCACGTCCCCGTCAAGATCAACCTGGCAACTACCTTCTCTGGTGAGTTACGTTCTTCGATCATACAGGCATTAACACTACATTTTCTTATACATCCAAGTTATAACAAATCGTCAGGGAAAAAAGTACTTTTCTCTTTGGACGTACTCTCACGTACCTGCTGTTAGTTCTAAGATTAATCAGGAACGTACTCGTTGTTTTTAGATGGGGATATAAACTATCAGCAGGTCAAGCACACCGACCACATCAGTCAGACTCAGGGATGGCAGAGGATCACCACCAGCTGGACTGTACCATGTACGTACATCAGATGTATTGATTTCTTAACCTTTTGATTTGTCGATTCAGTTATATAGTTAACCTGCTGCAGCAATTCAGAAACACAATGGCTAGTGAGAACATCTACTATAGTATATTACTTTTGAAGAATATGTTTGACACATTTGTATGGAGAACGGCACAATCACAACGTCTTAGAAAGTTGAATCCTTGTTTTCTTCTGCTTACGTTTATTAAAGACTGTTAAATTGTGTTTCTCTCTTTGCCCAGCGTTTGACAAGGAGGTGACGGAGATGCGGCTGTACGTTGAAGGTCCTCCTGTCGGTACTGACGTCCTTGTAGACGCAGCGTCGCTGACGTCAGCTGAGGGACAGTCAAGCCTGGTCGAAGACCTTCATGTAAGCTGATCGACATTTTCAAATCATCTTTGGTCTTACTTGAGTGATTTTGCATTTTGCAAACAAGCCTCTTTTTAGTAAGTAAAAAGAATGATTTAAATTGATACACACGACTTACAGTTCAAGCAAAGAAGCTTAATTTCTGACATCATTTCATCATTTACCATGAAAAGGTAGTCACGTGACCAAGAGGCCAACCCAGGTCACGTGACTGGACAAGGGTGCCGAATTTGTGCCAAATACATGCATGTCTTCCTTTCTGTTACTCTCTGGCTAATCATGGAAGAAAATTATATATATATCTAAAGTTTGTTATCAACTTTGGCAACATTTTTTATTTAATCAGATTAAGATAAGCATTACAGTTGTATTTGTCACAGACCGTTTCAGGTTCTGAGATGGTGACTAACCCTGGATTTGAGGGTGACCTGAGCGGCTGGTACTGCATGTCGTGTACAGGTGTGCATTATACAGAAGACAAACATGGCGGAGGCGGAGCTATGCTGGCTCAGGACAGGTACACAAGATAACACACTGTAACACACTCACTCCATACACACGTCTTAAAGAAAGTGATAATCCATATGTTCCATGAACTATCATTATCTTCCTGTGTATTCAAGTATTGTGCTATAGATATCTACTTACTAATGGATTGATACATGTCTAAGAAGTTTTTTGTGATCGCGCCTTTCTCCGATTCTAAGGTCTGCCGAGTGGGCGGGACCATCTCAAGATTTAGCCTGGGGATCCGCCATCAACAGCGGATATACCTACATGTTCACCATGTGGGTCAAAATCCTGGATGGCGGGAGCACACCCTACAATATCAAGGCTAAGCTGAATTATAGGTTCAGAGGTAAGATGTTAACTTTGTTTTCTAAGCATCGGCAGTTGAGCAGAATGTACTAGGCCTGCCCAAAACCAGGATTTTTAATGGTTTCCGTTGGTTGTTTGGTCAACGTTGCATCAGGATTTTTCCTGTTTCACACGATTATGTTTATATAATTTATTTCACACTGTACGTATTTTTAAAAAGTGGTAGTGGTATTTGAAACAACATGGCAGACGCACACGTAAAATGCTCGCAGTTGACGTCAACATATGCACAAATATCTGCTCCCAGACGGATCCGAGGACTGGATTGGGATAGCTTCTTCCACAGTGTCAGCCCAAGACGGCTGGGTGAGGCTATCCGGTGGACACACTGTACCAGGTGTGATATTCTTACATTACATGATATATTATAAGTCATTAACCAGACATGGGAGCTAAGTCACAAATCCCTGGTCTATGGCCGATTATGGACAATATGTTCTGTAGATCAGATCTGCATTGCACAGTAGGATCTGCACTATATCGGACTTATACTATTCAAACCTGACTGCTGGTCACAATGTACTGAAACTGGTGATATGGTCTTGCTCTTCTGACCACAGACTACAACGACTGGGTGAGTAACGCCCGTCTGTACGCGGAGGGTCCTCCCGGTAACGTCCGCTTCCTCATCGATGACGTGTCGTTCCTGTCGTTCATGGACGTGACTGCGGACAACTGGTGGCACGAGTCCAACATCAGGATCGACCAGCATCGCAAACGATACGTCAATCTCAAGTGAGTTAAGTCCCTGTCAAACAAACTCGATGCACATAGCTTTCAATGGGTGCACTGTACATATTTATTCTCACGAGCATATATACACATTTATTCTTCCGAGCCCAGACATGACTTACAGTTTGTATATATTGTCTACTTTGTGTGAAATTACAGGGTGCAGACTCCAAATGCAGATGACATCAGTGTGGAGGTATGGATTTGGCTTGATTTTAAAAGATTTGTTGTATGATAGTACTGTTGAAATACCACATGACATACGTGTATCATATCATATCATATTATAATGTGTATTAAATATTAAACTACGTACAACATAGAACGATATCTCGATATCGCAGATTTCGAACTACGCTCAGCCATTAGTAAAATTAGAGTTAGCGCCCATCCTCTGGAAATAGAGAGAGGCCGGTATAGAAGACTATCTGTATGTGAAAGAATTTGTAAATATTGTAGTGCAAAGGCTGTGGAAGACGAAATACATTTTATTTCAAACTGTTCATTCCATAACGACGCTCGAAATGAATTCAAAACTTCTACAATTTATCCCAATTTCTCTAAACTTACAGACCAAGAAAAAACTATTCTTCTTTTAACTTCCCAAAACCCACAAATTTTGGAAAAGGTGGGACATTACGTCTTCCATGGTTTACAGAAGAGAAGTCAAACCCTTCAGATATAGTTTTAGACATAGTTATAGTTCTAGACAACTAACGTTTCATGTAGACTTTAGTTATTTTATACCCTACTCCATTGTTCTTTTATGTTTTGTAATTTGCAATTAGCCCCCGGGCAAGAATTTGCAATAAACTTTCATTATTAAATATGTAATGTATTCAAATGGTATAAAAACCAACAAGACACAACATCAACACAACAACAGACGCATGATATTTACTAGTCAAATTCACATTTGTACAAACTGATTGTTCACAAGCACTATCATGTTACAGATCACCCAGACCAAATCTCACTTCGCGTGGGGCTGCGCGGTGAACGCCTGGATCATGCCTGATGACGCCCGGTACCGAGACTTCTTCCTCAGTAACTTCGAGTGGGCCGTCTTCGAGAACAACATGAAATGGACGCAGAATGAGCCTAACGAGGTAAGAAAGTTGACGTCATTATCGATAATCACGTCCGCAGAACGTACTGATCGTGCGAATTCCGTAATAATGTATTGTCCATAGCACCTCGGCAGAACGTGCATGTGTTCGCGTATTTATTGATGACATCCCGTTTATAGTTTTAAATGTTGATACTATATTGTCTGTACGTAATGGGGCAAATTCTTATGCAGCGTTGAACAAATATTCAACGAAAAACGTGAAAAATCCGAATTTCGGGCAGGCGCAGTACGTTCTGCCGACATGCTTTATCGATAGATTTACAGTTACCAAACGCTAAGGTAGGTTATTGTCAGTCTCATAGAATTTTAACATATATATTTTTCAGGGTCAGCTTGAGTGGAACCTTGCTGACCGGACATTGGACATACTGGAGAATGCTGGGTAAGTTTTCAAGGTGCTACATCTAAAGGCATGAGAAAAAACTTTTAAAGGTTCAACATATACATATACATGTACTGTGTTGATACTGGGATAAAGTAATACCAGAAACCAGGAAAATGAACTCTAATTTTGCAGTTTTTTATTGATATCAATCTTCTTTTAAATTCAGCATCCCTGTCCGTGGCCACTGTGTCTTCTGGGGCGTGCCGGAGTTTGTACAAGGTTGGCTGCACAACTACTGGGGCGGAGATCTGGAGCAGAAGTGTTGGAAAAGGGTTAACGACGTTGTCGGTCGATACGCCGGGAGGTATAGTACTTCATTTTCACTTTTTCTATATCTGTATCTGTACAGCCGGTGTATAACCACCCTTCGCGGCGGGACACACTAACTATTTAACAGGATTCAGCAATACTTGGACACAGTATAGTCATGTTGTTAATTTTTTAATAAAACCATACTGCAAAACCATAAAGAAACTCAAGAGAAACATAAATGCAAGGCCATGTGGTCAAAGAAAGGGCACGAGAATAACTTAAAATCTTAAAAGTATCAAACGGATATTTTTGTCATCAGATTGCAGCACTGGGATGTAAACAACGAGATGCTGCACGGCGACTTCTACGTCCAACACACGGGCAGCTCCCAGATCCGGTACGAGATGTTCCGGAAGGTGAAGGAAAGAGACCCGAACGCCAAACTCTTCCTGAACGACTACAACGTCGTCTCCTGGTGGGGAGAGACCAATGTAAGTGTTTTCATACAATACTATCTTGTTTTCATATTGAATCGTTATTCATAACAATGAATGAATGATATAAGGGTCTTTGAGTCGATAGACTAAAACAACGCGGAATACAGTTCGTGGTATCAGACATTTCTGCGTTCTGGTTTTTACATTCTCTTGTTCTGTTTTTGTAGGCCTATGCCAACCAGATTTCCGAGTTCCTTGACAACGGAGCGCCAGTGGAAGGTGTGGGAGCCCAGTGTCACTTTAACAACCGCCCTGACACGCCGAACGTCCTGGTATGTCAGAATACCCAGAATACGTACTATAATATTTTTTCAGGAAATGTTTTTTTTTTTTCATTCTCTCAGGCAGGCTTTATATAGAGTTTGACAATAGGCGTATTTTACTTGAATGATGTTTTCCAGCACCGTCTGAACGTCCTCTCCTCTCGCGGCCTCCCTATCTGGGTGACGGAGCTGGATGTGAACGAGGCTGACGAGTACGTGAGGGCGGACGGCTACGAGGACGCCATGCGGGCCGCCTTCAGCCACCCTGCCGTGGAGGGACTCCTGATCTGGGGGTTCTGGGACCAGGCACACTGGAGACCGAACGCTGCACTTGTGAATGGCGACCACTTTGGGGTTGGTCTTAGTTTTATCTCACATACATTTGTTAGCCACCCTTACCTGCCATTTAAACTAGAGCCAGATCTACAGATGCTATCATGAGCAGATGATAAGAGTGCATTAACATTATCTGAATATACTCTGTAAACAGGTCCTTAATTGATCTCCAGCGCTGAACTTGGCTTTTGTTTATTGTTTATTTTGAAAGAAAATGATAAAACCATAGCCCCCTGTGCAGACTATCAATAAACACAATATAACGCTATCACCCATACTTCTACCTCCTAGATTAACGAAGCAGGTCGCCGTTGGCAGCGGCTTGTCTTTAACGACTGGCGGACCAACCTGTCTCTCACGGACGGCATCGTGACGTCACACGGCAAGGAGTTCATCTTCCGTGGTTTCCATGGAAACTACGAGGTCAAGGTTAAGTCCCATGGCCAGGTCGTGGCCACGAAGACGTTCTACTTGTCTCCTGGAGCCGGCGCCCTTACTGTGGAGGTGGACATGCCTAACGATATCAT